AAAAAAAAAAAAAAAAAAGATAATTACATCTTTATGCTCTGTAAGTGTTGCATTGATTCTTGTGTGAAGTTTAACAGCTTTTTATTCCCAGTCCATTTTATGTGTTACTCTCTCTCCACCTCTCTGAGTCAAATGCGTATCTTTGTGGTGATGGTGCATTTCTTTCTGCTAAGGGAATCCCAAAATCAAAAGTCTACGATTCCATCGAGGAGGAGAATGTATTCTTTTGATGATGTGCTGGATGAGGAAAAGCGACCCCCAAGACTGATGATGTCAGAAGCAAGTTACCAGAGTGAGAGAGTAGAAGAGAAGGGAACAACTCATCCTTCAGAAATTCCTGAAGAAGATTCTGCCATTTTTGCAGAAAGAGAGGACAGTGTAACTACTGAAATTCAGTTTCCTTCCCAAAGTTCCACGGAGGAACAATGTCCAGCCTCTTTGTCTTCTCTGCGTTCACTGAGCACCCAAATGGAGTCGACTCGTGTTTCAGCTTCTCTCCCCAGAAGTTACCAGAAAACTGATACAGCCAGGTTAACATCTGTGGTCACACCAAGACCTTTTGGCTCTCAGACAAGGGGAATCTCATCACTCCCCAGATCTTACACGGTAAAAAAAATGTTCTCAGTTCATTTAGTTTTTTCTGAAGAGCAAAATGTTGGTAAACTTGTGCAGAGGTTGGGGTTATATCAACTTGATGTGTAAACTATACATAACATATATAAGGAAATTTTATTTTATGCCAATTCAATGCAAATTTAACACAAGATATAGCAATGATACAGAATTTATTAAACTTTCAATTCTGTGAAAATAGGGCTGATACATTTTAAAGAATGAATAAGATATATTCTAAGGCAGAGTATTATTTTATAATGTCATTTGTTTTAGATGTACCTTTTGTAAATTATTAGGTTGAAAAGTATGAAGTTATTGGTATGATTGTTCTTCTTGACCTACAGAACAGCAATTTCATGTGGTTTAGCCTAGATATTTTCAGGTGCTTATGTACAAATTTCTGCTTTTTTCAGATTTCTTACTTCATCAGAACTTGATATGTTTGAATATAATGATTAGAATACATCTTATTGTTTATATATATATGTATTTCCATTAACACCAGATTTTGAAGATAGAGAATATTGAAGCATTTTTCCTGAGAATAAAGTGTTACCATATCTGACAATGAATGTGTTAATCTGAATTATGCAAAAGGCAGCAACACAGTCCTATGATTAATGTTCAGATTTTTTTTAGCTCTGCTAATGTACAATCCTAAACTCTAAAAGAGTATAAAAAATTGAATATTTGGGGTGAGAGAAGCCTGCCTAGGCTAACTGGGAAACTCCTGAATGTAGAATTTCATGGCAGACCCCTTTTACATGGTCAAAAGACTATATATATATATATATATATATATATATATATATATAGACTCAGACAAATATTACCAAAATGGATTATAGGTAAAGGGTAAATATCTCTAAGACAGAAAATGTTTCCACAAATGGGTAAGGAAAAGCACTAGAAAAGTGAATATAGAAAAGTAGTGGCCATTTCAAGAGAGAGGGGATTCAAATGGCTGGTAGCAAAGCACACAGAAGTATGTTCAGCTTCCCTGGAACAAAAATGAGGCGTATGACTTTTTACCCATCAGAGTCATATAGACTTAAAACATTGAAAATGTCTAGCGTTGGCAAGGATGCTGAGAAACAGATGTTCTCATACATTACTTTGGGAGTGTATTGCTACAATTATTTCTAGAAACTATATATATATATAAAACTTTTGTTCCAGCAAGCCTACTTTTGGAAATCTGTGCTATAAAAATGAAAATTCCAATTATAAAGAGATATGGATGTTTGTTGCAGTATTTTTGGAAGTGACAGAACATTTTAAGCAACTTTAAATGCACATCAAATGAATAAATTGTTGATGTCCATACTACAGAATATTCAGAAAGTAAAGGGACTGGTTAGAGTTTTATCTGTTGACCTGGAGTGGATCAACAGGACACCAAGACTGGGATAGCATTAGGAGAAATACCTAATGTAGATGATGGGGTGTTGGGTGTAGCAAACCACCACGGCATGTGTATACCTATGTAACAAACCTGCACATTCTGCACATGTACCCCAGAATTAAAGTGTGTAAAGTGTGTGTGTGTGTGTGTGTGTGTGCATGCGCATATATATATATATATATGCACACACACACACATCACTGAGACCTTTTGGCTCTCAGTCAAGGGGAATCTCATCATTCCCCAGTTCTTACATGGTAAAAAACGTTCTCAGTTCATTTAGTCTGTTCTGAAGAGCAAAATGTTGGTGAACTTGTACAGAGGTTGGAGTTACACCATCTTGTTGTGTAAACTGCACATAAGACACACACACACACACACACACACACACACACACACACACACACACAAACACACGGCAATTTTATTTTGTGCCAGTTTAGATTCAGTGGAAATTTAATGCTTAAGATGTTTGCTTGGAGTAAACAAGCAAAGCAAATTTCAGAAGTTTGTATGTGATATGAATGCTTTTGCTAAAACAATTTCCCCTACTACATGTGTGTTTATTAGTGTAAAAGAACTCAGTCCAAGCTTTTAGCAATACCTATGTTACTGTGGGAGGTATGTTATTTTAGTTTTCAAATATTAATTTAATAATTAACTTTTAGAAACAGAAATAAAGATAACAGAATATCAAGTTTAAAGTGATTTTTTCTTATTTAGATGGATGATGCTTGGAAGTATAATGGAGATGTCGAAGACATTAAGAGAACTCAAAACACTGTGGTCAGCACCCCTGCACCAAACCTGGACGTAAACCAACTGGCTTCAAGCTCATCTAGCCAGAAAGAGGTAGCTGCAACAGAAGAAGGTGTGACAAGGCTGCCCTCTCCTACATCCCCCTTCTCATCTCTTTCCCAAGACCAGGCTGCCACTTCTAAAGCCACGTTGTCTTCCACATCTGGCCTTGATTTAATGTCTGAATCTGGAGAAGGGGAAAACTCCCCCCAAAGAGAAGTCTCAACATCCCAGGTGAGTTTGGGAAAGTTCTTTATCATCTGTGGCTCAGACATGCATTTAAATCTGGAAGCTTGTCTCAAACCTCAAACCTCTACGTGTTAATCTGGGCTAAAAATGTGAAAAATGATATAATGGTTTATTTTGAACAGATCTTGGTGGAAGTCTGTCTCTTTCTACTCCGAGTACGTAGATCCAGATAACACTTGTGCTATGAGACTATGGAGACTTTGTGCACCAGCCTCCTTGGGATTTGGCTGGTGTTTTCTCTGTATTCCACATTTCAGTAGTTGTGGCCTTATACTGCTAGTGCCCCTTAGTCCCAGGTTTCAGGTACAATTGTCACTTTAAAGGTTTTAGATGCAAGTCTGGTTGTGCCTCATTCTTGCCCCAGGGAAGCTGAACATGAGTCTGCATGCTTTGGGTGACTTTGGGTGACAGAAGTCCTTTCCCAGGGAACTTAACAGGCCACAAGGAAAAATTGATGCACATGATAGGTAAGGTGCTGGCCTCTAGGGACGTGGCATTTCTTTTTTGATTATTTTAATCTTCTAGTGACTTTTAATACTATTTCATACTTTAGAACATCTATAATTTTTGATGGCCTCTTGTCTCTTAATGGGACTATCAAGGCTTGTTATAAAATGACAATTGTATTCCACAACATTTGGAGTCCAAACAAAATATACCATCAGGTGATGAATGATTGGGGATGTGTGTGGTTTTTCCTTCTTAAAATTCTAATAGATGACTTCTTAGAGAATGATTAGGTAATAAATGTTCTTTGTAGCCTACCTATAAAACATACTGAAAGTCTTTGGTGAACAGAAAGCTCTTTCTTAGAAAAATTCTTGCTAAGCAATTTGATAGTTGAATGAACCCCTTAGCATGGAGGAGCTTTCGTGGTTCTTTGGCTTGCTTTAGTATTCCCTGTTGCCCTGCAAAACATTAAGAGAGAGAGAGAGAGAGAGAGAGAGAGAGAGAGAGAGAGTGTGTGTGTGTGTGTGTGTGTGTGTGTGTGTGTGTGTACACACACACACACACACACACACACACGACTTGTCCTAAGTTATATTAATGAAATGACGTGAGATTATTTGGCATTTCGTATTTATTATTATTGAGTTTTTATTTGTGTGGGAAAACTTAAGAAATTTAAACTTTTTTTTCTAGTTATAAGGTACTATGTACTTTAGAAAATTTGGAAATGCAGGAAAGTATAAATAATTTAAATTCCTGATGATTCCATCATTTAGAGGTAATTGTTAACATCTAGGTATATTTCTTTTGTTTTTTTTCCCTTGCATATTTACAGGCATGTATCTAAAAACAGTTTCTTCAGCTTGCCGAAATAGTTAGTTGCAAACTATCATTACATGTTGAAGGAATTGGAAATATATAATTAATATCCTAAGTCTCAGTTGAGGAGAACAACAGCCTATGCTATGTTATGATTGGGGAACATAAGGTACCAGTGAATGAATAATAAAAGCAGAAGCAAAGTGTCGCTTGTTTCACGGATTTGGATATTTGCCTTGACCTTTTTCAAATAGTAAATCCAACAAAGCAGCCTGAATCAGGCGCTGCATGCTGGGTGTCGGTACCTCCCTCAGGGAGGTGGCTGACTAACTGCAAGTGTGGATTAAGGAACAGAGGCTAAGTGTGGTGTGTAGGTGTGTCTCAGGTTATTGCAATTCAGAGGAGCTTCAATTAATGTGGCACTGTTTCGGCTTTCATCATTAATGGGTGTATACTTCTTTGTTCCCAAACTTGAGATGCTATTCCACCAAGAAAAATTAGGCCTGATGACAGTGGAAGCCATTGGAATTCTTTAACGTAGACGTAATTCATACGGTGACTTACCAATCTCTGATGCTTGGTGTGTCCATTTCTGTGCCACTGGGGCCGTAGCTTCTGTACCACCCCACTGCCTTTGTCTCAGAAGGAGCCTACGGCCTCGAGGGAAGGCTGTGAATGTGTATGACAGCTGAGCAATATGTGGAGGGCCTGTGCAACGCTCCCCCAGACGTCATTCAGACACTGTGACTCTAGGTGATCAGAGGGTAGCAGAATCAAGAGGAGCATGTGGCTGATCATCTGAATGTTTTGGTAGGTTTGTAAAAGAATGTTCTTCAGGTCATTTTTCTCTTCCATACCTTGCACTTTTGCTGGCACTGCCCTTTCGTTCTTCCTCCATACCCCCCCGATGTTATTCTTTTCTTTTCTTTTTTGAGATAGGGTCTTGCTCTGTTGCCAGGCTTTAGTGCAGTGGACTCAAGCAATCCTCACCCTAGCCTCCTGAGTACCAGGGACTACAGGCACATGTCACCACGCCTGGCTAATTTTTGTATTTTTTTGTAGAGATAGGCTTTCACCATGTTGCCCAGGCTGCTCTCGATCTCCTGGGCTCAAAGGATCCATTTATCTCGGCCTCCAAAAGTGCTGGGATTACAGATGTGAGCCACCATGCGCAGCTGGTGTTATACTTGTTTCTATTCTGGCTTCTACTATGCTATTTCCTATCTGTGCACATAGTCACAGGTGTTAGTGTGTACTACACAAGACTGGCATCAGATTAACTTGATGCCAGGTTGGACTCAGTAATTTCTCTGCTCCAAAGCCTCTAGTGGCTCTGTGTGGTTTGCTGAAAGAAGTTCGTAGTGCTCAGGGAAGCACTAATATCTCTCATTCCCTTTGTAGTGCAGCCATAGCTGATGGTAGCATGCTTATTATGTGCCAACCAGGCTTCTCAGGGAGGTATCTTAGTTAATCCTCACATCAGCCCTGTGAAGTAATCCACAATCCGAGTGTTGACTATCATGATTATCCCTATTTTATTAAAATTGAGGCATGGCATGGGCATGTTACTTGTTAAAGGCAGTGCAGGGTACCAAGTGGAGTCAGGATTTGAACCCAGGCAGTCTGACTCAAGATTTAGTATCACGTTATGCTATCATGCTATGTCCTGGGAAAGAGAGGTGACTCTCCTGCATATGGCTGCTTGCTTTTTCTTGGATACGTCCTGTACTTTCTGGAGCTCATCATTGCTCCCCATTTGAAGATGCTTATTTCACACATCTCTGCCTTTTGAAGTCCTACTGTTCCTCAAAAGCCCAGGAGGACCACTTCCTTCATGAAACAAGCTATCACCCCTCTCCCACTGGAATCAAACTTCGTACCCTTGAAAAGTTTCACTCACTGAATTCTTCCTTGTCCCATATAGCTACGTGTTCCTCCTTCACTGATATTCTTTGTACATTCTTACATATAATTGGCACTTAAGTTTTACTGACTTGAACTGTATTCAAGGCCTTGATTACTAGGCCGAAGTATGAACTTGATCAGGCAGGTAATTTAGAGTCCTTATTGGTTCTTTAGTGTGGGCATTTGAAGATTAAGGGTTGTTTTAGGAATGTAAGCACTGTGGTGTTCCCTAGAGTTATTTTAGGGAAGCCAAGTCTGGAAGCAGAGACTAGTTAAGAGCCTCTCAGAATTGTGCTAATAAGGTGGCATGTGCCATAAATAGGAAAATCATAATGAAGGAAAGAACTTAATATGGTCTTATTTAAAATCTGCCCATAGGAATTTCCTTTTCATCCTCATAGCTGAGCTGTGGGTTTTGTCCTTCTCTCTTCTTTTTGCCTCCTTTCTTCTCTTGTAGTTTTGCTTTTTTCTCTACCTTTCTTGCCAATCCCAGCTGCCAAGCTCATTCTGGAGGTGAACCAAGGCAAAGAAGAGGGAGTGTGACTCCTGGAGTCCCTCACCCCCCTCCACATGCAGATGCGGTTTTCATGATTCTCCCCAAAGTTGGTCTTGCCTACAGGTTTCTGTTTTTTTTTTTTTTTTTTTTTTTTTTTTTATTTTTTTTTTTTTTTTTTTTTTTTTTTTTTTTTTTTTTTTTTTTTTTTTTTTTTTTCTGTCCTCTCAGAGCTCTAGGTTTTCAAACCCTCTACAAATCCACTTTCCAGAAACTCTGCTCCAGATTTTTTAAAGCAGTAGCCCCTAAATGGGATGACACATATGGAAGGAAGGAACCTTTCTGCATGTCCATTTCCTGGTCTCAGCCCCACGCTTGGTGACACTTTGGATATAGCTAAGCTTTTGCTTGCTTCTCGCCTTCACTAGAACCTGCTCTCCGTGAGGGTGGAACACAACCCTCCCTTCCTCCTCCTCAGGGCAGTGGCTGGATCTGTACATGTTCACTGAATGCTGACCGAATTTTCTTGGCTTTAGAGCTAAGTATTTGAGAATTAAATGGGATTTTCTTTAATTGATCTGGAAACTGCTTAGCCAGCATGGGTATTATGTTTAACATTTGCTTCCATGGGAAAAAGAAGGCAATTACTGGGCATCAGTCATGTGTGCCTTGACACCTTTTAAGTGTTTCATTTAATTGTCTCAATAACCCGGCAAAGTAGGTGTATTAGCCCCATTTTTACCAAGGAAGTACTTGAAATTTGAAAGTTATATAACTTGCCCCAGGCTGGTGAAATGCCTTGGCCACAACTGCGATAGATCTGATGTGAAGGTTTTTTGAAATATGACAGGCTCATGTTTGAGGACTGCCTTATGTACAGTTAAGAGAACACATGTTGACTTATTTGGACTTTGCTGTGTCTTTAGGATTTTAAAGCCACTGGGGGCTGAAATGTCTTTTTGTCTATAAAGATAAAATCATCGTTGAAATCATTTTGAGGAAAGGTGGTATTATATGTTTATTGAAACTTACCAGAACTAAAATGTAGAGTTCGAAATCTTCCAAGTAGGGCAGTAAGGAGCTACTAGCAATTTAAAAACAGAGTGTGATATAATAGCATGCTCTATAACTAAAGTTCTGGCAGCTGTGTGGACAATTAACAAAATAAGGGCTGGAGGCAAGAGAGCCAGTTAGCCGTGGTAACCATAGGAGTTTAGAGGAGATAATGGCCTGAGCTAGGATGATAACCCAAGGGAGGGTGGCAAAGTGGGGATGATTCAAGATGGATTATGGACTTGATAGAACTTTGTGAAATGTAAGTGTGTATGGTAGACAGTAGGGGTATAGGGATTGTCATATTTGAGTGCGGAACAGTTAGGGGAAGGAAGGAGAAAGAGGCCTAGAAAGAATCCAGTGTTTCTAACTTGGGCATCTGATGAGCTATTGATGCAATTAACCAAAATATGTAAAACAAGAGGTAGAAGAACAGGTTTGGGAGGAAGATAATGAATTTAATTTTCAAATTGTTGGACTTGGACATTGGAGGTTGCTCAGAAAAGCATATAGTCGGAGAGGTTAGAGACTGACTAAGGAACAAACGACACAATGAAAAGAGAAGAGGAAAAGAGGAACATGCTCATTAAACTGAGTGGCAAGAGACATGGGAAAGAAGGCTGGAGAAATGGAGATAATAGGTGACTTTAGAAGATTGTTTCCCAGAAAGCAAGAATAGTGGGCAGTGCCTGGAGGGATGCAAACTCAAGATGCATTTGGTAGGTAGAAGATAATCTTGAATGGGATGAGGACAGTGATGGGTGTATTATAGAAACACTACCTGCTGCAGTGGAATGAAGGATTTAGAGAGAAAGACCAAGATTTGAGGGCTACTCAATTCATTTTCTCATTCCAGTAAGACTCTGAAAGAAAGACACTAAAGAACTATATGTATACAAATTCAAAGATTATATGTTTCCTCTGATATTCCTGATTTTACAGTTCAGATTTACTTTTAGGGTTAATTTTATCAACTAAGTAGGCTTCCCTTAACACATTTGTCTAATAGAAAAAATTTGAGAAATGTAGCTTTCTGATTTGGCATTTAAGATTGGCCCTGTTTTTTAAATTAAATCCTATCTATGGTGACATGAAAATCTTAATTCAACAGATTTAGCAGAAATAAATGTTACCTTTGGGACTCCAGACCCTCCTCATGTTTTTGTTTAAAAATGTAGAGTCTTGTACTTCTGTTTCATCAGTCATCAGTCTGACAGTTGGTGGGGCCATCTGAACTTTCAGTGGATACTTCTGCTCACGTTGTACATAATTTGAGTGAAATTTTTATTGTATATGCTGAGATGTTGATAGACAACTGCCTTATCTTTTCTGGCATGAACAACTGAAACCACTTGGATAGTTCATTATCAGTCATCAGGAATCTAGATCTCCCCCAATAATTTATATTCCTGTTCCATCCAGTTCAAAGATGATGTTGCCATTATTATCTTCTGAAGCCTGGATTCTTTGTAGGGTACTCACTTGGCATATACCTTGCAGAGAAAAATAACGAAGTTGAAATCCTTCCTGAAATAATTGTTGAACAATTTATACTTGAATGTAATTATAGATATGTTCACTTGCAAGAAGTTCCAGGAATAATTTACCGTAAGAACATGGGCTTGAACAGAGATGCCTCAAGACTGCCATAAGGGGAAGGCCACACAAGTGGGGCTCTGGAACCCCTACTTTGAAACCACAGCCACTCACTTTAATCCTTTCCGTATATTGGTTTGGAAAGAGGCAGTCTGCACAAGACTTTGACTTGAAAGTAGGCTACTTAAAACCAAAATTGAAAATCAGTATCTTTATGAAAGAGAAGCTTTACCAGGCCCAGTGACATGCATGTGGTCACCTGGTTAATGAGAGAAATGTACCTGTAATTGCCCATGTGGCTCTCTCCTCTTTGCCCATGTCTATCCAGCAACTGACACAACAGTCTGCCTGCCTGTAGCCACAGGGACGCTGTCCTTTCTGTTAACGCTTTCAAAGAGGAGATGGTTATCTGCCCTTTTATTAATATTTAAGATGTTTAAGTAGAGATTTCTTTGTTTCTAAGGTAAGTATAGTCCTTCATGAGACAGTATTTCCAATTTAATATAAGAGTGAGACATTTCCCTCTAGGGCTTAAGCTCATTCTGTTTGATCCTATATTTGGTAGAAAAGGATAATGTTCACTTGCCGTCTCCCACAAAATATTTTTTATGTACTTTGAGATTATTTATTAAGACTCCATCCTGTCTTTTATTCTTCAAACTAGAAAACATCAGTGTTTTGAATATGTAACCTCTGATTTGTCTCTCTTTCTTATACAGCAAATAGATTCTGCACTTTAATTGGCTCTAAGTCAGATTTTTTTTTTTTGTAAGAGTGGTGAAGATGACCACTTATTTTCACTGAGTCATCTCTAACTTAAGTGTATGGTGGTTTTGGCTAGGGAATAGAAACAACCAGTAATTTTTGCTATTCTTAGCAGAGTTTTATTATATTCTTCAGATTGGCATTCATCAGGTGATTATTAGCGAGTATTATGACTACATCTGCATTTCTGCATTTAAACTGCTTTACAAAAGACTTTCTGCTGAAACCTAAAAATCCTATACCCACTGAAAAATCAACAATTATATTTTGGGAGCAAGAATCAGCCCTAATTTATTTTTATTTCCCACAGTGCTAAGTATTGTGTTTTCTACAGAGTAAACAATCAATGTATGTCAAACAGTTGAATGAGTGAAATGTCATAGTACTTCTGCATATCCATATGGAGTAGTAAATTCTTGATCTTTTATTTAATGCCTTCCTTTAAATTATTATGTACTGTCTTAGTCCATTTAATGTTGCTATAACAGAATACCTGAGGCTGAGTAATTTATAAAGAAAAGAGGAGGTTTATCTGGCTCATGGTTCTGGTGGCTAGAAAGTCCAAGAGCATGGCACTGGCATCTGCTTGGCTTCAGGTGAGGGCCATGTGCTGTGTCACAGTATGATGGAAGAGCAGAAAGCCAAGTGGTGTGTGCAGAGACCCAACACAAGGCAACCTCACTTTATAACAACCTGCTCTTGTGGTAACTAATTCAGTCCTGCTAGAGTGAGAACGTACTCCCATGAGACTGCATTAATCCCTTCATGAGGGCAGATCCTTCATGACCCAAACACCTGTTAAAGGTAATACCTCCCAACACCACCACATTGGCCATTAAATTTTAATGTGAGTTTTGTTGGTGATGAATCACATCCAAACCATGGCATGTACTATCCTAGTTTTTTCTCAGAATATTGCCACTTGTTTTAAACTTGTTTTATGGGTAGAAAAACTTAGGCAGAACGATTTATGAATTGCCCAATTGGTCATTGGGTTAGGTTTAGCTGCCAAATTAAAACGAATAATTGGTAGGTCTTTTTCTGGAAAGTAAAACAGGTTTAGGAAGAATTCTAACAGGTAAGTCTAAGTTTTTTATGATTAGGAAACAAAGAGCTGAAGCACTAATCTCATAAATTCATATTAAGATCTGTCTGTTGCTCACTCAAAACAAAATATGTAAATTACAAAAGAACTGAAGGTTTGCACAGACAGTATACTGTAAAACTTGAAACATTTGGTTTAGAAAATAGTTTAAGTTCCATGGAATTCAGAATTTATTGGGTAGTATAATGATAGCAATGGGAGTAATTATACCTTTTGTTCAAGAGGCTGTTGTTTTCGGGGGCTTATGGGCTGATGTTATTTCGAGGAAGTCATGGTCTGTGGCTCAGGATGTGTCAATAGGGGACTCTCTTGGTATCTTACGGAGTAATTCCTTACAATTGACATAGTTCTGCATTTTGCAGCATTTAGGATAGCTACATCTTAAACACTAAATCTTCACGTGGCGTTTGGGCAAGCAAAAATGCCTTGCCAAACTTCACATGCCCACTGGGCAGTGGTACCAGTCCTAATGGATGCTACTGGAGGCTAAATTATGTGTCTGTGAACCACTTGAAGTTATTCAGATAAATATGTCAAGTATTGGGGGTAGTTTTTAAAAGCTTGGTGGTCCTTTTTGAATAAATGATTGAAATCACTGTACTTATTTCTGGGCAATGAATACATGGCCTATATATTAGACCTAATTGTACAGTGGGCAGAAACCTAAGCTTGTCCACGGCTAATTGATTTACATTATTAATATGAAGAAAAAGATGTATAGGCAATAAGATTTTCCTTATTTTAGCAGAAAAAGAATAAACATGGTGCTATTTATATAAATGAAAGCTTTACCAACCCAAGGAAGAAACAATGAAACTTCTAGTTTATCATGAAATGATTCAAGTATACCTAGCATGCAGCCTTCCTTCTTACATGGATAGACTTTCCTCCATGTGGCTGCCAGGAACACCTGATACTAGCGTTTCATGTTTTGTTTTCAGGATCAGTTCAGTGATATGAGAATCAGCATAAACCAGACGCCTGGGAAGAGTCTTGACTTTGGGTTTACAATAAAATGGGATGTTTCTGGGCTCTTCGTAGCATCAGTTGAAGCAGGTAAATGATATATTCAGCTCTACTGAACTTTCTTCTCCTTTTTTATCTTTCATTGTGGGGTTGGGGACCACAGAAATTAGTCTATTTAACATAGGAGGAGAAAACGTGTGAAAAATGCAACTCTAAGGCCACAGGATACATCTGCTTCCCTGAGATTATTAGTTGGGGTTACAAATTCCATAATTGTTTATTATTCTTGCCTAATTCATTTTAGTTTTGAAGAGTCTTAATTTTGTGATTTTACAGATTTTGTCCATTTTGGATATTATATTTGGAAATACTAATAGCACTTAAGATTCAGAAAGAACTTGCCATGATCAGCCATACTTTGCAGTAGATGTATATGTGCTATTTAATAAGGTGATTTTTTTTTGAGTGCTCTAATATACATTGCCTATGAAGTCTTCAGGACTTCTGCAAAAGGATTACCCCTCCACCATCCAGGTCTATACCATGTCAAGCCTGGGAACTCTTTGCAAAACATTACAAGGCCTAAAATTAAAATGAAACTGTTGTATCTAAGAGGAGTGCCTTTATTTTTACTTTTATTTTTTACATATTTCAGCTATATAAAGTTGTATGTTAACACCAGTTATTTCTTTTACATCTTAAGATTGCCTTAGTTAGATAATGGTATTTTAGTTATGGAGTAATTTTAAGCAGTTTTAAATAGCTATGTTTTCTTCTGCTCCATTCCAAAATGTATCTGTTTTGCAAGCTCAATTAAAATGCAGTGTATTTCACATTTCAAATTTAAGAATTACTTAATTTTTTTTGTTCTTGGGAGGTTAATAAAAAAGTTTTATTGAATATATTTTTCCTTCAATTCTTAACAAAGATGCATTCTATAGAACTTAAAAACTAACTCTAATGCTTTGCATGTTGTACTTAGATACTCAATATTAAAAAGGTAGTAACCTTTCTCCACCTGAAAAAGAGAGAAATTGTTAATTGAAGTTGAGTCATTTTTCTTAAGCTTAAAGCAGCAACTAGTAGAACATGTGGAATTTTTCCCAGCTGGTTGTTTAATTTGTTTTGCATTTTTAGGTAGCCCAGCAGAATTTTCTCAGCTACAGGTAGATGATGAAATTATTGCTATTAACAACGTCAAGTTTCCATATAAGGATACAAAAAAGTGGGAGGAAACCATGGCTAAGGCTCAAGAAACTGGAAACCTAGTGATGGATGTGAGGCGCTATGGAAAGGCTGGTGAGTTTGTGTTACCACCGTGTCTGGCCTTTGAAATTGGGGCTTGGCCCTTGGCAAGTGCTTCTAACAGTTGGCTTCAGTAACTTTATGTTTTTCACTTTACTTATGCTTTGGCATTAAAGGTGTTTTGTAGTCATGTCGTGACAAATCTTGAACCCTCCCCCTTTGAATATTCTGTCTGGACTTTTCACTAGCAAATTTACTGAATTTTACATTATTTATTGAGTGATTTATATACTGCTCTGACTGAAAGCAAATATCGATTGAAGACAAATGTATCTGCATCCAGGAGTTATTTAAAATACTGAGTATTAAGAATTATGCTATGATTTAACTTTCTCTGCAGCATCATAACCATATTGGTATGAGAGAGAGCCTGGTAGGTCATATTCCTGTTTATGCTCAAATAACTTTGAATGTGCATTCCATTAACGTGTTTCTTAGTTACAGAGGTTAGATGGGAAAGGGCATTAAGCCTCCACGGACCTATCAGCTTATGATAACAACATAAAATCTCTTTCCTGGTCTTTGGGAAAGGTTCAGCAAATTTGCTAGTTTTTTCATTACTAACATGATTTAACCCTTGTGTTTTAGGAAGGTGGTCTGTTGGTAAAAAGCCCTAAACTCTTGATTGATTTCACACACTGTCTGATTTGTCTTGTCTATGTAGATTTTTAAAAATATGTGTATTCAATGACTTTATTCTTTCCACTTCACCATTTATATGTACTCATTTGATCTTCATGTGCCAATCAGACTGGGGCAAAGACCAACCTTCCCTACCATTTATACGGCATAAAACCCTCAATCTCACCAGTATGGCTACCAAAATTATAGGTTCACCTGAAACAAAGTGGATTGATGCAACTTCTGGAATTTACAACTCAGAAAAATCTTCAAATCTGTCTGTAACAACTGATTTCTCCGAAAGCCTTCAGAGTTCTGTGAGTATCTAGAGAAGTAGGAGTAGTGGTGTGGAGCAAGGCAGCTGTTAGAATTGTGTACGGAAGAAAATAATTTATTTTGTTTGTGCAATTTTGATACGACCTTTAAAATGTAAATGATTGAATAAGGTAACATACAGTAAAGAGATATAGTAAAATATATTTTTGAAAACCATAGGTATTCCTCACACAGTAGTTGTGAATTATGTAATGGTAAAACCAAAAGATCCCATAATATTGTTTTGCAGGTGTTTTCCACCAGTCTTTCATCATTAGACCCACCTCTAAGATCTTTGTGAGCATAAAGTAGCAATTATGTAAAATTATACACTATAACTTCTTTATGCATTCCTTAGTCTTGACTGGCAAATAAATGTAATAGTTGGGTGTAATGTAAAAGTTCATGAAGCATTTTTAGTTTTTGTATAGATGAATTTGATGGGTAGACTTACGTACGTGGTTAAGAGAAATCAGTTTCATTAATTTGATCAAAAATATAATGTAGAAATTTTTCTATGTTTCAAAGGAATTTTTTTATATAGACTTTAAAGTAATGCGGTTTTTAGTTATACAAATTGTTTAAGTTAATACATTTAAATTTCAACTAAATATTATGCACTTATACTCACTTCTTAGATTGTGTTATTTTTATTATCAAGTCCAAGTAACTCCTTTTATTTAATAAAGAAATCTTACTGCATTGTATAAGAAAGGTTTAAATGTTTGATAATCCAATATGACTGTTTTGTGTACTCATAAATAAAAGCCAAATGGACTAACGATTATCCAGTTGATTTGATTTCTTGGAAAATTAATGATTGGTTCAACTTAAAATCATCCATGCCTGTGGTCATTAATTCTGCCACAAATACTGAAGTATAATGAAAAAATTTAAGTTTCTACTACATGTAAAAGACTGTAAGAAATGGATCAATATCTCGAGAAATTCATATTGTTAAAATATATATTCACTAATGAGAAATGCATTATTTAAGCCCAAAGTCCAACTGGAGAGAATATTAACTAGCACTTTTATCCTTTCCAGAATATTGAATCCAAAGAAATCAATGGAATTCATGATGAAAGCAATGCTTTTGAATCAAAAGGTAAATATCAGTATTATAACTTACATTTATAATACAGGAAAAGACATAGCACTCAAGTTCTGCTATTCTAAAAATTAATATCTGTGAGTGAAAGAAAAACTGATCTGCTGCAAGTTGAAACGTAAAAGGTTAGCACACAGATCCAATTGCAGCCAGGTGGAAGGGCGTTCAGTTCCAGTGCTGAACAGTTCAGGAACTGCAAACAAAGCTTTGGCAGCATGTTCCGGAGCTTTGAGTGCCTGCCTAAGTCAAGTAAGCAAGACTGGTTTTCCCGAGGCTGTCAGCTTTCTTGCTATGGTATGCTGGCAACAGGGAATCTTAGTTAAGCATGAAACTATGAATGAAGTTTCCTTTCTTCTTTATTGTTGTGAAAGGGACAAGTTGAAGGCAGTTAGCCATAAGAGGGAAATGCTAATGGCAATGAAGTCGTTAGCAGAGGTACCCATTTGTAATGAAAAAGAAGGTAAAGTATCTAGGGAAATTTTGGAGTTATCTCTATCTTCCTTCTTCTGCCCATCCAGAAATAATTTAGCTGCCATACGTTGTGTGCAATTCCTTGGACACAGAAAAATAAGAATAGACCCAGTCAATGTAGGCAGGGGAAGAAACACAAAGAAGGTGAGACTTCTGCCGTGAACCTAGACTGCCAAGGATGGGACTGGGTTTTCACAGTGCTTTGGTGGCTTTAAATCTACATTTGACAGTTTATAATACATGATCTTAAAGCCAACCTAAATATATAAATTTCCCTTTTCTTATCGATTATTTAATTTCGTATTTCATTTCTGATAGATAGAAGTGACTACATTTTGTTTTCAGTTGCATTCTTTATCAAAGACGTTTTTGAAGCAAACTTTGCTTATTTTTCTCTGTAATGTTACATGTAAAGCGCCCAGGTCCTGTTCTGCAGTGGCTCAGGTGAGATAGCTGATCAGACATCTAGCTCGTTGATGACTAGGGGACTCTACGTGGGCCCTATCATTGGAAGGTTTTGTTTAGATAAGTAACCACTAACTAGTGTCAAGTAATAATCGCATATATATTTTACGCCGTAGTCTTTGACAGATCTATGGAAGAAGTCAGAATGTTTTTCTTTTGTTTTCTTGGCTGAACTCCATTTGCTTTACTTAATATTAGTAGCTACCAGATCTTGGAAACTAGGTCAAAAAATTCTACTTAGAAGAATGTTGTAACTTTATTATTTGGTTTTATTTGATCTTTCTCTGGGTATCATTTTTTTTTGTTTTCTTCACTATTACTTTTCACTTCTTATTCATAAATGTTGTGAAAACTGTTACAGACAGTTTTCCATGTAGCAGACAAGATTATGGATTAACCTAAGCAAAAACTATTAATTTCCTTTTCCCCAAAACAGTGTGACGTAGCATGGAAGATAGTACTTTGGCTTTACATAGCTGTGAAACTATGATGCTGTGTGCTAAAATTTATTAATATAAATATTTGTTTCTTCTAATTTGAATGTAGTGTAGGCTACTAAAATTGTGTGTCCCTGAGCCTTGAAATAATCTATATCTTCTATGGCTATCAGTTTGTCCTCTTTTAAAATGTTTTGCTACAGATTGGAAAGGTATATCAAGTATCATTTAATTTCCCAGTGGTGAGAAATCAAAACGAATGACATGGTGTTTATTTTTTTTTCAACTAGCATCTGAATCCATTTCTTTGAAAAATTTAAAAAGGCGATCACAATTTTTTGAACAAGGTAAACCACAAAGCTAACAATTCATGCACTTTCATGGAATTGTTCTCATACTCCACTCCTCCTCCTGGTCTGTGGTGCTGGGCACTGAGCCTCTTCAATTTGTGTGTCATTATGACCAACCAGCATAATCCATTTCCATTCTTTCCCTAGGGTCATCAGGCTTTTCTTACAGCTCATGGGTCTACCTCTGTGGTAATGGGTCTTTGTGTGTCCTTTGTATACCTCTAAAGGTTTTACTTTTTTTTTTCAACTTTGTAAAAAAAAAAAAAAAGCGGGGGGAGATGCTCTTAACACTTCTTTCCACTGGGTAACAGTAAGAAATGAGGAATTTCATTTAAGCCTTACTGCTTACTATAAATTGCCTAATATTAGATTACACCAACATGCAATTGCTGAGTTTTTAAAAACTCTAACCTGTTTTTGGTTATGGAAAATACTCTTAATAAAGAAGAGTTATTTTTGCTATGGGTTGGTGGCTTTGGAGTGTTGATTTGATTGCCCTGTTGACTTTGAAGTAAATGCAGAGTAAATACATTTTGGTGGCATCTGAGAACAGGTGCACTTTGAGATTCTCTGTGTTGGTGTAATTGGGCAGGGCTGCCTCAAGATGTGCTGTGCATGTGACATTTGCTTCCCTGTAACGTTTGCCCAATGCTCTCTCTCATGAATGCTGTTCAAGCTCTGTTTTGCTACTAAGAACTTAAAAGTAATAGTCATGTCTTATAACACAGTGCTTACTGAGTTTGTATATTTCGTGTTAATCACCTAATATCTTTCCTTTGGATTAAGGTCTCTTTTTGACCATAAACAGAAATAACTTACTGGCTATGCAAGTCTGTTTGTGTCAGTATCCTTAGTGGTTTTGGTTGATATTTTAAAATAAAATTCCTGTTTGTCTATGGCTATTTAACTGAAACATTATGATACTCCTTGCTAAAACTGGCTAAAATAAAGCAATTCCTTTTCTTCCTCTGTTCTAATTTTCTTCCACTTTTCTTCAACAGGCTATTCTAGGGAAGAAAATTTTTCTAGGTCTCAAAGCAATTTTCTTTAAAAAATTGTGAATAATTTATTTGACAGCTGAGATTTCAAGAAAATTTAAAAGTACTGTATGATAGTATATTTTCTGATATTTTACTTTTTAAATAATCATTGTTCTATGTAAAGGTATACTTGCGTAGGTCCCCTAAGAATAGAAGAATGAGACTTTACCCATGGGTTTATACATGAAGTTTGAATACTTGTGTTTCAAATACTAGGAGCAGAAAAAGGAAATATTCCTTGAACATGTTTGTTGCAGAGGCTTGCTTATGAAAGGTGACTCATTAGTAAGAAGACTAGAAAAATGTGACTTGCAGCTGTCATGATGTAACTGAGTAGCGGCAAGTAAAAAATTGGGATTTGGTAGATGTTGTAACATTTGAAATTCTTTTTTTTTCTCCTATTAGGCCAAACTATAAGACACTGCCCTGTTTATTAATAAAAGAACCTTGAAGCTTCTTCAGAAATATCCACTGATCCTTCACTAATACCTAGAGCTATGGTTTATTTTGGCATCTGTATCTTCCTTTTACTAACTTTGAATTTGAAAGATGGGTAACAGATGGAACTGTTACACCTAGAGAAAAAAGGATTTACTGACTGTTGTTCAAAAAAACATTGTCACTTAGTATACTGGCATAGAGACAGCTAATGATAGAAGTTTCTGAAAGGAATTGTTTCATAGGAATGAAGACTTACATTGTATATTTTTCTTCCTTGCCCATGTGCTGCCACACAGGAAGCTCCGATTCTGTGGTTCCTGATGTAAGTAGCATTCATTTGTCATTTGGAATAAGGTGAACTTGGTGGGACTGAGTTAGTACACAGTAGTGTGCTTACCATGATTTTAAGTTGCATAAGAGTTTATCAGAGAGTTACCCTTCCAAGTTGAAAAACTTATTTTAAAATACAAAGCCAGATCTCCCTTGGTACATTTTAAGCAAACTGTGGTATGAATAATTTATGTGTGCAAAAGTGGTTCAGTAGATGACTTAATGAAGCTGTTCTCTATTTGTGTCTCTTCTCTGATAACTGGTTAGCTTCCAGTTCCAACCGTCAGTGCCCCGAGCCGCTGGGTTTGGGATCAAGAGGAGGAGCGGAAGCGGCAGGAGAGGTGGCAGAAGGAACAGGACCGCCTACTGCAGGTAGCTCTGGCTCACGTGGATGGGTCAAAACTAGGTTGGATTTCATGGCTTTTCACCAGTCGGCGTCAACCAGTATTGAGACACTAACTTTAAACTCAACAGTCTCACAACCAACAAATATTTTTGTATGCAGTACATTTTCTATAAAGCAATTACTTTTCCATTTTGAAGATTTCCAGAATCATCCTTTAAAAATCATTATTTATTAACCTCCATGTATGAAGGGCACTCTCTTAGGGGGTGTGAAGTGCATGACTTTGTGATGACTTGGTTCCCATAAACTGTTTGCTAGGTCCATTGCAGAGTATTCAGCCCGTTACGGTTTGCTAGAGGCTTTAATGAGTTACAGCCATGGTAAAGGGTGGATACAGGTTGAATTCTGTGTCTATCTTATCTTTTACCCCAGTGTCTGCATTTTAATTCAATATACACTCTTTTCTAATTTAGGGACTAAACTCTGGTTGGCTTATGAAAATAAAATTATGGTCTTGAAAAGTTTGAGGTTGAAAGTTTAGAGATCATAAAAATGCTAATAAAGAAGATTCTTAATGTGAAGAGTTAATCTGTTATTTTAATATATGTCATATTTTCTTATAGGAAAAATATCAACGTGAGCAGGAGAAACTGAAGGAAGAGTGGCAAAGGGCCAAACAGGAGGCGGAGAGAGAGAATTCCAAGTACTTGGATGAGGTAGCGTTAGAACATGCCTGTTTAGTTTTCCTTCTCCTTGCCTTGTTGGTAGGATTAGCTGAGAAGCAGGAGACACTTCACTTCTCTCTGCCTTTGACCATATGTTCACCTGTGTAGCTCTTTGAAAAATCCAGTGAGGTCTGATTTGTTAGAATTTTGCTTGGATGTTTCAGTCTTTCTCCTAGTTTTTGCAGTACATCATTAACGAATTATGTTAATAGAACTTAAGTGCATCTTCCTCTTCTAAGTTACATGTTTGTCACTCGTGTGTAGCTTTTTTGTGGTAAAACTCTTTTTTTTTTTTTTTTTT